GGGGGGCTGGGGGAGCAGGGAGGGGATGGGGCCTAGCAGGGGTCCCCTTGTGTTCCCCTCCCCATCTCCCCTGCCCCTACTTACCAGCTCTGAATCTGACTCCAGCTCCATGTTGCAGCCACGGGGGACTGCCCGAATCATCACATCTCTCTGTATCGTTTCCAAATCAATTTTGGAGAGCTTCAGATCGATTTGGACCTTTTTAATTAGTCCCCTGATTCAATTCGGATTCAGAGATTTGGCCACCGAATCGGGCTGAATCTCCCCCGAATCAAATCAGGACCCAGAGCTTCGCACAGCCCTAGTAGACACCTTCCTGAGTCTGAACTACGTGTTTAGAGTTAACTGCTTGGGGATCTCCTAGAAGTCAGTGGGAAATCTGTCTGCTTTTTCCAAAGCTAACTTTGGCCCAGATTATTTAGGATGTTTAACAGTAAACGTATTACATTTAATAATAGCCTATATAGTGTTTTATAACACTAATTAATTATTTATTATTAATTTATTATTTATTATTAATTATTTATTAATTATTATAATTAATAGAACATTGTCTTAGTTATGCTAGTTTACAACAGGAAGGATGGAGCAGTTTTTAGGGTAGTACTTGGAAACCGGAGTTCATTTCCCAGCTCCACTGCAAACTTCTTATTCAAGACCTGTATTCAAGACCAACAAGTGGCCTTCAGCAAGTCACTTAAAGCCATATTTTTAAACATGCCCAAATGACAGAGAGGCATATAATGGCATTTCTAAACTTCCCAAAGCCTGTTACACATTCAACTGGTCTCAATTAAATCAAGAATGATTATGGACCTAATCTGGTTAGACACTTTGTAAAATCCCACCCAGGGACAGATTTTTAAAGTATTTCAGCACCTAGCTCCTATGGATTAGACACCTACATCCCATTTACAATCCAGGCACAGGTGCCAATCTGCCTCTTTAGGCATCTACATATTTTTGAAGATTTTGTCCTTAGTGTCACTGAATCTCAGTTGCTCATCAGTAATAGTGGAGGTGATAACAATTCCCTGACTCAAAAGGGTGCTGTAAGGATAAATACATTAAAAATTCAGAGGTACTCAAATTCTAACCTAACAGGGGCAGATGAAGTGGCTTCTCCCAGTCTTGTTTATCTTGAACTAGTTCTTTTCCCACCCCCTCATCCTCATAATTCGGAAGGATTTTATTTTTACATATTTTGTATATGAGAAGGGCTCTAGTAATATGCAGAAATCCTCTAAGGAATTTCAGGTTAACAAGCAAACTTTTTATGTGCACGAATAAAAAAAATTCCTTTAGGCACCTAAAACATTATGGACTGGCAAGAAATAGTTGTTTTATTCATGAGAGAGTCATATTTTTCTTATGATGAGTCTGCCTTGGGCAGAAACTGTTTCTGGATCTGGAAAGGACAGACGTCTTCCTGGTTAAAATGGGTTGAGGTGCAGCTTTTCCTTGCATTTTCAAGGTATCGGCAGCTCGTATGAAATATTCGTGCAAGCTACATGGAGAACATAGGGTATTTCCTTATTGCACCTTTACATCCCTCCTCCTCAAAATGTAGTTTGGGTAACACCCATAAATTCCTGAGTATCTATATTAGAATACAAGGGATGATAAGAGAAGGCTATGGAGACAGTATTTTTATCTGAGTGCCCTCATCTGTTATCTCAGATGTCCCATACCATTCAGAGTTAGACTTTTTCTCACTAAACTTTATACTCAAGGCCGATGTTGAACTTAAAAGTTTATTTAATTTTTCATGTTTGAAGTTTCTTGTATTGTCTTTTGAATGATTAAATCTTTTAACTCCACTGCTGGGAACATTTTTTGTCCTCATCTCTCAGGCTAGTGGCATTCTGAGACTGATAATATCTGAAGTTCAAAGCGTGGTCCTCTTAAAGTCATTAGAGAAGGACTTCCCATATGTTAGGGCAGAGCCACTGGATTGTATTCCCAGTTCTGCCTTTTCTCATTCTTTGATCCTAGTCACATAAGCTCTTCATGCCTTAGTTTACTCATCTCTGACGTTGAAATAAAATATTTCTGACCTTCCTTATGGGGTATCAGGAGACTTAAGAAGTGCCATACTGGCTCAGACCAATGGTCCATCTAGTTCTTTAATTCTGTCTACAACAGTAACGTACATGGTTGCTACAGAGGAAGAGCACTGAACTAGATATTGCTAGCCTCCTTTTCAATATTCTCCCTAGCATCCACCATTATTAGTTTAGAGGTGCCAGAGGAAACATCTCCAACCATTCTGTTCAATATCTATTAACAGATCTATCATCCATGGATTTATCCAGTCCCTTTTTGAACCTGGCTGTGCTGTCTGCCTCCACCACCTCCTCTGGCACTGAAGTCTATAAATGAATTATGTGTTGTGTAAAAAAATGCGGTCTCTTGTTGGTTTTAAACCCATCACTGATTTCAGTGGGTGGCCCCAAATTCTAACAAATTCATTTTTGTTAAAAGCTTAGCGATCCTTGGATGAAAGGTGCTAAACAAGGTTCTGTATTGTGTTTATGGTAAATGACATTTTAGATAAAGTAAATGAGTAGATACGGATTTTTCAGCTGGTCTGTAACACAACAGCAGCTAGGAAATTCAAGATTAAGACTGAAATGAAACATTGAACCCTTTTAAAGTACATGCAGCATGTAAAGTGGTCCTATCTTAGCATACAGAGATGGAAAACATGTATTAATTCAGCTAGAGTCCATTGGCTGGCCATTGCAAGATGGGCCCACTTGGGTAATGTCCAATCAAGTTTTAAAGACGTGTGCAGATGCAGATTTTGCTGATTCCTTTAGACAATTAATTGGCAGCCTATTACAGTGGATCCTAGAGTCAGGAAATATTTTCCAGCATCAGGTCTAAATTGTCCCTTTTTTATTTCACTGGCTTATGCATTATTATAACTATCTATATGCCGCTCGGTAAATCCTCTCTTGTATTACTTGTGTTTTTCAGATGTTTTAAAATTGTTACTATGATCCCCCCTCCACCACCCCAATCCTTGTTTCACCAAGTTCTGCAGGCTCATTTGTTTAAGTCTTCCCTTCTAAGTCAGTCCTGTGAAATAGAGGCTTCTCTTGAAAAATATCAGGCACCCAGAAATACAGCTGCGTGTCATCATTAAGAGATATCCATACTGCTATCAGAGTTACAGTCCTCCCTCGCATGTGTAAACATACTTACACTGGCTTAAATTTGCCCCAGTCAGATACCAAGAGCAGTGTAGCCTGGGAAGCAATAGGCTTCATCACAGGATATGCAGGCCTACCAAAAGCCATTCAAGTGACGACTTTGTGCTGCAAACCATGATCCAGGGACCACGCTGTTGTCGATGCTTAAGCTAATTAGAATATGTCTGTGTGTGCTGCCATCATCCCTGCATTGATTTCAATGTAGACATCCCTATAGAGCATTGTGCATATCCTACTGAAACAGGGGACTGTGGCGTAGACACCCATACAGTCCAATGGGTCGCCAACTGGTTAGAGAGTCGCACCCAGAGGGTGGTAGTGGATGGGTCCTTCTCGACCTGGAAGGACGTGGGAAGTGGGGTCCCACAGGGCTCGGTCCTTGGGCCCGCCCTGTTCAACATCTTCATCAGTGATTTGGATGAGGGGGTGCAAAGCACCCTGTTCAAGTTTGCTGATGACACTAAGATGTGGGGGGATGTGGGCACAATAGAGGGGAGCAACAGGCTACAGTTGGACCTAGACAGGTTACAAGGATGGGTGGAGGAGAACAGGATGGGGTTTAACACGGACAAGTGTAAGGTGATGCACCTGGGGAGGAACAATCGGCACCATACATACAGGCTGGGGAACTCCCCTCTTGTCAGCACGGAGGTGGAAAAGGATCTGGGAGTCATTATTGACTCCAAGATGAACATGAGTCGGCAATGTGGGGAGGCGGCTAGGAAGGCCAACTGCACCTTGTCGTGCATCCACAGATGCATCTCGAGCAGGTCCAAGGAGGTGATCCTCCCCCTCTATGCGGCACTGGTCAGGCCGCAGCTGGAGTACTGCGTCCAGTTCTGGGCGCCGCACTTTAAGAGGGATGTGGACAGCATCGAGAGGGTCCAGAGGAGGGCCACTCGTATGATCAAGGGACAGCAGGGTAGGTCCTATGAGGAAAGGTTGCGGGACCTGAACCTGTTCAGCCTTCAAAAGAGAAGGCTGAGGGGGGATCTTGTGGCCTGTTATAAACTGGTTAGGGGGGATCAGCAGGCGCTGGGGGAGTCCCTGTTCCCCCGAGCGCCGCAAGGAGTGACCAGGAACAATGGTCACAAGCTGGCGGAGGGAAGGTTTAAGTTGGACATCAGGAGGCGCTACTTCACGGTCAGGGCGGCTAAGGTCTGGAACCAGCTTCCAAGTGAGGTGGTGCAGGCTCCCACCCTGGGGGTTTTTAAGAGGAGGTTGGATGACCACCTTACTGGGGTCGTTTGACCCCAGTGCTCTTCCTGCCATGGCAGGGGGTCGGACTAGAAGATCTGCTCAGGTCCCTTCCGACCCTAGTAACTATGAAACTATGAAAATGGCTTATGAAAGACTGCTATAATCACTGACTGTCATCATTTTGGACAATGCCATTGTGCTCCAGTGCTCCCTGAAGCAAGACCTGTTCCCCTTTTTATAGTCAGGCTCACTAAACCCTCTTTCAATGCTTGCTTGTTTCTCATCTACCCAAAACTACAGGTGTCTCCAGCCTTCAGAAGTGCATAGGACCAAATGCCTCACTGTGGCAATAGCAGATATTTTATGGCGAGCAGGGGACCACGAAAAAGCAGTGATTGCACTGTAAGTGAGACACATTTTCAGTTATTGCATATAATTATGGTTGCCAACCCTCCAGGATTGCCCTGGAGTCTCCAGGAATTAGATATAAATCTCTAGAAGACTGCTAAGAGTCACTGAGGAGATAAATGATAGGGCATTCATTAAAATAAATATTAAATGTTGAATTTGATTTATACAGTAATCCAATGGGGTTGTTAACTGTAATAGTAATGTGCATTTGCCTTCCTGACGTAAAGTCATTAATGTCATTATGTCATGTGATGAAACCTCCTGTAATAGATTCAGAAAGAGTTGGCAACCCTACATACAATCCCTATGGTTAACTACAGAGAGACAGAGGCCTGAGGCTGAATTGTTTCAATCTTTGCAGGTTAGTTTAAGCTGCATTGATTGAATCGTTAAGGAAGTGAACATACATTCACTTTTGATTCTGGAAATGCAGCGATATGCTTGCATTATCCCAGGCCAGAAGCTGAGGAGTACTGGAGCATGCCTCCCTGCTTGGCTGGAGCAAACAGTTTAGGCCCAAGCTAGCCTGCTCACCCTGCGACTGGAGGTTTGTGGGGGAGGTGCCAAGCATCCTGGTATACTGGGACCGTGAGTTAACTTGAACCTGGAGGGGATCTGAGACAGAAGTTTCATAAACCAATTTAACCTAATTCAGTTAAGTCTGATACTACATCTATCCAGGTTTATTTTAACCCGGTTTCAGCCTTTTGAAAGTGGTTTACGTGCACTGAACCTCTGTTGTGTTACAGATTTGAACTGGTTTCTGATCACCAGGAAGCCTGGTTTTCCCTGATAAAAATTGCAAATTCTCTGATTAAAAACTCCAAGATCTGCGATTAAAATGAAAGACACCTCAACTCCCTTCCCCACCCCCCATAACACCCTGGTCCTGCTCATGCCCCTTATTCCCCCGCAATCACACCGGTCCTCCTGGTGCCCCTCACCCCCCCTGCAGCCCCCTGGCCCTGCTAGTGGCTGTGCAACAGCAAGAGCAGCAAGTTGCACAACCCCGTGCCGCTGAGTGTGCAGGGTACGTGTCCCCAGGGCAGCGTGGAGCTCGGAGCCGCAAGCAGCCTCACTGCGGGCTGCAGCACCAGGTTGCATCTGCTTAGCTGTGGAGGCCCTGGGAATGGGCAGCATGGTAGGAGCCCGAGCCCGCCCCGTGCACAGATTTGGGGGGCATGCGTACCCCCTGCACCCTGGGAGTGTGTGCACCAGTGGGGAGCTGGTCCCTTCCCTCGCCCCCCAGATGAATCATCCGCGGCCCCATGTCACTTCCCTCCAGGGCCCTGCAGTCATGCATTGCAGCCCCAAGTGCCATGCACCACCCTGCTGGGCAGCAGCCCCAGGCCCAGCCCTGCCCAACTCTTTCCCTCCCTCCCTCCCTTGCTGTGGGGGCCTCAGTGTCCATCCCCTCCCCCCCCTGCAACTTACCTGCAGGAGTTGCCCTCCAGTCTGCCTGGGGCCATGTGCACATACATGCATATGGCACCCCTTGCCTGACCGCCCTCCTCCCACTCCCGCCAGCCCCCTGCAGGGGAACCCTGCAGGCCTGCAGAGAGCTCTTTGCAAAACAGCAAAATCCACGGGTTTCTCAGCTAAAATGAGAAATCTGTGGTTTCCCCTGGCAAAGGGTAAAGTCTGCAGGTTTCTCCATTTTTCCACGAGAAACGGGAAACCTGGATCCTTGCCGATCACTTGTACTGTTTTCTATGTCATTTCTGTCCCTAGCCCATGTGTATCTGAAACAATCCGTTTCATTTAAACGCCTAGATCTCTGCCCACGTATATGACATTCAGGATGCTTTTGTCTAGTCTAAAATGGCTTGTTGTTAATGGACACATTCTAGTGGCAGTTCCCTGTCCTAACATCCAGTAAAAATCAGGGTAAAATCCTGCTGTCTCTGGAATCAATGGTTTAAGTCCCATTGACTACACTGGCTTCAGCATGTCACCACAGTCTCTGTGACAAGAGTGCCTCTGTATATTAATTGAGAAGTGGAACTTTTCTAAAGCAGCTACTTCCTTATTATATTTTAAACATGATTTTACTCTGTAAGGCAGGTTTCTCCATGTAGACACTATATCTGTTGCTGTACTGAAGCTATCACATTGTCCTTCTGTTCTGTTCCAGCGAAAAAATTTCAGCGAGGTCTTGACTCTGTCTGTCTTCTTTCTGTGTACAGTAGCATTTGATTAATTGTAAACACAATATAAAGACTGTTAAAACGCTTACAAAGTAACTCACTTGTTTGGTGATGAAAGCTGACTTTGTAACATAAACTTGCCATGCGAGAGAGCTCAGTTAAAAAAAAAAATAGCCACTTTTTTCAGTTCTTTTTTCCACTTCACTACAGCACATTGATTTCTCTTTGTTGCATTGCTGGTGCTTTTAAGCTGTTGCTTTGTTTAACTCTCTTTTATAGGCCTTCAGGAAGGCAGCAGTTTACTCCGGTAGGAAAATACAAAGCAGATGGGATCTTAGAAACGGTACATTTTGGTGCAACCGCACACATACATTTCATATGTTCCGATATGTATATTTTCTCTCTCTCTCATGCACATACACGTGCACACACACACACACACACACACACACACACACACGTAAAACTTCACTTACAAAAAGTACAATGGACCTGGTTCTCTTCTGTTTCCCATGCTAATTTACCATATTTTTTTCCATAAAACACACACCCTTTTCCCCAAAACCAGCTGGTAGAAATTAGGGTGTGTGTTACATATGAGAAATACTGATCCCCCTGGGTCCAGAAATGTGGTGGTGGGAGACCACTGTTAATTACTGCAGCTCTGGGAGACGGGGCATGTTATGTTGTCACTGCCTCCACCACCAAATTTTCCAGCTAAATAACACGGCCCCATATAGCAGACCTGGCAGGTGGTCAGACCCAGAGCAGAGCCCCAGACCTGGTACAGAGGTCAGACCCAGTAATTTGGACCTACTGTGCAGGGTCAATCCATGGTGTCAGACCCAGTGCTCAGCTCCAGGCTGGCACACAGCTGCAGACCTAGCATGCTGGATCTGGTCAGTTTGCAGCTGGACCTGGCCTGTGGCCCTGGACCTGGCTTGCAGGGTTGGCACTGACATGCAGCCCCAGACGCAGCACATTGGTTTGGGCTAGTGTGTGGAGTCAGTCCCTTTGCACACAGGGCTGCACCCAGCTCAGAAGCAAGCTTGGCTCCCTGGCTACTACTTCTCAGTTACTTAGTGGTCCTACAAGGTAAGATTTTTTTTTCTTGATGCTGCCTTTCCAAAACAAAGTGAGGTTTATTTTCTGTGGTGCGTTATATGTAAGGTGACCATATTTTTAAGGAAATGGGGGGCAGAGTGTTTCAAGTGAAGGCAGAGCAGCATGGTGCACCAGGCAGGCGGGTGGGCAGGGGCTGCTGCTGCTGCTGTGCCGTGCCAAGGCAGGTGGACTGGGGCAGTGCCCAGCCCAGCCCAGCCCGCCTCCTGCCTCCAGCTGCTGCTCAGGAAGGGCTGGGTAGTGCAGACAGGGTGGTGCGTGCTCCAGTCTGCCCACCTTGCTTCTGCATAGCAGCAGCAGTGCCTGCTCGCCTGCCTGATGCACCATGTTGCTCTGCCTTTCTGCTGGGCTGTGCCCTGTGTCCTGCCCGCCTTCCTCTGCCTGCAGCAGCACTGTTGATTTGGCATGGGGAGGAGGGCCAAAATACAGGCTTTCCCAGGCTGCAGTTTTCCCTCTGGCCATTCTGCTGCTGCACAGTCGTGCACAGGAGAATCGGTAGAGAACGAAAGAATCATGTATCTGGACAGGAAAAGCAAGGATTCGAGGACTTTTCTTTCAATTTTCACCAACCAGCCGGGACTATCCCTGCCAAACTGGGACTTACGGTCACCCTGGTTATATGTGACAAAATGTGGTAGCTCCACTGACTTCCATGAAGCTGCCCTTGATTTACCCTAATGTAAGTGAGAGGAGCTTCTAAAGAGTAGCAGCACTTCAGGACGTAACTGGCTTTTAGCCTGACCCAAATATATGGACCCCCTGAAATTCTCTTTCCATTCATGTCCCAAGGTTACAAATAACAGCAGCTTTCCCCATAGCGGAAGAGAACTGGGAATGGGACCTTCGAGGCCCATTGCTACAGCTGTTATCAACAGAAAGAAGCCCTCGGTTTTCCTCCTTGTACTTTATACAGCATGCCTTGCTTTTCCTCTCCAGATAAATGGCTCATGATGGTAATTCCTAAGAAATTAAATGCTTTGTCACCTGGGCATTTCTTTCCATCTGAAGTTCTCAGTTGCTTTACAAAGGTGAAAGAGGCAAGGGTTTTTGTGGGCAATATTTTTAACTGACTAACTGCATGGTGGCGATAGACTTAAACAAGCTTCTCAAAGCAGGGCATGACAAATTAAGTGACACAAATGATACCCGAGTGAATAGAGGGAAAGAAGAATTTGATGGGGAGGGAGAGGTGCTTTCTTGTCATCACAAAGAAAGCCCATGGTAGATCCAAAAATATAACCCAAATTTTTGGCCCCTGAGTTCGATGGTTTAGACACAAGATTGTTGTTCCTCTCAAAGCGGGGTGGGGGGATTACCAGAGATAATCCATTAATAAAAAAGAATCAGACACTATGGAAATCCAGCCCTGTTCTTGTGAATTCTCACTAACATTTAAATTGGATGGGACTAGCTGTTGTATTAAGCACTGGACAGCACTGTGTTTTATATAGTTCACATATTCTGTCTTCTAAAGACAACCCACTAGAATGGACTGTACCTGCAGATACCAAACTACTTGGGTCTCTTCTGTCTTCCAAAATTTCTGCATTCCTACATTGCTTGCAATACTTGAGCATCATACAGTACATTTAACATGCTGAAAACTGACATTATTTTTAAAACAAGACTCTCAGAACATATACATACTGTGGCTGCAATGAGAGTTAAAACATTATTTTAGTAATGAAGCTGGAGTTCTGAATAAAATGGATTTCAGTGGATCTTATCCAGTCTGTAGCAGCCAAGGATCTTGCCAGACATATTTAAGTTTTGTGGTTGCTTTAATTCAGTCTTGGTTTATACTAGCATGTTGCTATCTATTTTAATTACATTTTTTAAAACATTTTTTTTTCAGCTAATGCTACATAACATCACAAAATATGAGGATCTGACAATATTTCTTCAGAAGTATATTCATCAGGTACTCTGCATGTAGAGACAATTAATCTTGACATTCATTGTTCAGCTGATAGTCTTTTAGCATATAAAATTCAAGTAGAAACTAATATAAATATCACTTCAGGAAAAATTTGGACATGTCCCCTGAAAAAATGAAGGACCAATTTCAAGCCTACCATAAATGATAGAGAATCTTAGAGATTTTAGTTGGAGTTGTGAGTCTGTTTGGGGGATAAAAAGCACATGCATTAAACCATCAAAGTAAATGCAGTACACCTTTTTTTCCAGTTTGAAACTGGTCCGTGTGGATGCATTCTTCTCACTCTGTCAGTGATCTTATCAAGATCTATTCATCTGTGAGTATTTTTATTTCTATTGTATAAAAATAAAGGGACCTAAGCCATATAAAAGTTGCAACCTGGGGAGGAAGCAGTTGTCCTTCGAATTTACAAGAGGGCACAGAAACTCCTTAGCTGACAAAATAATGATAGTGCAATATTTACCATATGCTAGATGCTCTACTAAGTATATGAAATACTACTGGTATCAAATCCATCCACCTTGGTCATATCCAGAGCTCAAGGATATGAGCTTCAGCTGTGCAAAGAGTTAGGAACATAAAGCATAGAGTGTAAGTACTATGTCCTCAAGTCCAGGCCCCTGTTGTCACAGGCAGTGGCATGCTATAATCCTTCCCATAAATGTATCAAGACTTGCCTTCAAAGTAATTAAGTTATTTGCCTTTCATTACTGCTATTGAAAGGCTGTGGTAGGACTTCACTAGTTGGATAACTTTATCCTGGTCTCCAGACTTGTACCAGCATTGGCCCTTTCATTTAAATAGCGGTTTTCTCTTCCTGGGACTTCTCCCCATGTTGTATTTACATACCTCAGTCACATCCGTTTTCCGTATTTTTTGTGTCAGCTGAGAAATCCATGGTTTTTTTGGTCTCCACTCAGAAGACAGGCTCCCCGTGGCCCTGATTATCCTTGTAGTGCTTCTCTGCACCTGTCCCAGTTTAAATTCATCCTTCATAGATATAGGTGACAGCACTGCATGTGGTATTCCAGATGAGGCATCACCAGTGTCTTGTACATTAATAGTTTCATGTCTCTACTGGAAGGAATTGACCTGATGCATCCTATGGTATAGCATTTGCCTTTTTCATTGCTGCATCACTTTATTGCATCACACATGCCATTATCACTTACACTCCCAGCTCTTTCTCCTCTTCTGTTGTTTCCAGTCTGTGAGCTCCCAGTTGATAGCAGAAATAATTGCCACCAGTTCAAGACCCACCACGGTTAGGGCTACATGCAACCCACCAGCCAACAGGTGAAATGAGCTTTGCTAATTGGCATATAGTCTACTCTAGTGTATATTCACCACTAAATTGCAACCAAAATAACAGGCTAGATGGGATATTTAACGCCTTCTTTATCTCTACGGCTGTACAGAAAGTTTGTGTTCTCCTACAGACTGGAAGAACTTAAGAGAAGTTTTACTTAGGTTTAATTTTGAATGGTGACATGAGCATTCTGGGGTTGGATGGCACAGAAGAGGCAGTGACCACTAAGTGAATTCATTCTTTCTTGTAATGCCCATGATGAGTCTAGCTGACAGGTGTTCATTAAGCTGACATCATTATGAATTTCATTAGAGTGCAGTTGTACTTATTTGCACTTAACAGAGTTCTCTTTTGTCCTTTTAAACTGTGTTTCTACGCTGCTATCAGCCGGAGGATTAATCAGTAAAAAAAATCCATATAACAAGATCAAATTACACTCTCTAAATGCTTTTCAGAATCATATTCTAGTGAAAGAGAAGTGTCAGAAAAATCCATCATCTATTGTATTTCTGTCTCTCAGTAATGACTGTCATGAAGAAAACTGCTTTGATTGAAAAAGACTACGACTTTAGATTATCTTAGTATGCTGCCATGGTTCTACTTTTTTTTTCAAGCCTAGACAGAGTTGAAGGAAATACCAGTTTGGAACTCAATTTTAGATGTAAATGTAGTTGCTAAACCACAGACTTTCTTTTAAGGATTCACGATGTATTATTATTTTCAAATTTACTTTACATGAACGTTGACATTTTGTGGTTTAATTTAGTTTAGAAGTCTAACATCATCGCTTTAATTCTGTAAGGTGTAAGTGGCATTAATATTATATTACTGGTTTTAGACCCGCAGCACAAGGAGGTTTGGTGACTTTGTTTAGGTTCAACATGACTAGGTTTTTAAAGGTCTTTAGGTGCCTAACACTGCAGATCAGCACATGGTGGGGTTTTCCAAAGTGCCTAGGCTCCTAATTCTCATGGATTTGAATGTCTGCACCAGACACTAAAAACAGCATGCATTTCTTAATGATGGGACCATTAAATTAATAAAAAGATTACAAGTTGACTTATCGCTAATAGGTGCCTGCATACTTTTGAAAATCCCCCCAGGTTTGTATCTGTACTTTCAAGCACCTAAATACCCTTAGACATCTGGCAGACAGTGACAGAGAGCAGCTTCTTTATGACCCAAATCTGTGACCTTCCCCCCACCAGACCATTTCTGGAAATGCTACTGCTTTTCCACCTTGCATCTTTTCCTTTTCTGTGTCTTTGTGACAAGGTATTTAGCAGAATTTGCTAGACTCTGTCATGGCCTTGAATTTACAACCTCTTCACTGTCAACCGTGCACCTTAGTGTCCACCCTACCCTGAACGGTATAGTGCCAATAAAGTCCACCAGTAGCTATCTTCTCTTTATAAGAAGCATGAATTTATCTCTGTTGTTAGAAATGGGGAATGTACATTCAGACTTTTGTCTACGAGAAATGAATGACAATTGTATTATGCGTTTTTCAATTATGGATGAATGGTCATGTCATAATCCTTGTTTTAGGATTTGAAAAATAGCAGGAGAAACAAGTTCACTGCTCATACCATTAAGAAATACGTACCATTGAGTGGCTGTTATGGGCATTGAAAAGGGTTGTTATTTACATGACTGACATCGTTCTAGACGAATATTTGAAGACCAGGGAGAATTGTTTTACTTAATAGGGTTATGTCCAGCAAATAGAGCTGGTTGAAAATTTTCGCTCAGTATTTTTTTTTCTACAGAAAATGAATCTTAAGCAAAATTAAAACTTCCCATAGGAGCCCATTAGTTTTGCTGATTTTTTTTTTAACATATCTTGTCATGTCAAATCCACCAAATCAAAATGTTTTGGTTTCCCAACCCATGCCAATGTCTTTTATTTCAGACTACTGTGCCAAGCTAGGTCTCCCTGAACTACCCACATGCTACTGGCCAGGAGTACCTGCCTGGGCCACGTGTCTCATGGTAAACCCAAGTCTCTGCTCTGGTTGTAACGGTGCAGGAGATAAGAGACCAAAGGCTCTTGAATGACCACTCCCATGAGGCACAGCAGCAGCTCCGAGGGAGATAGGTTAGTGTCAAACCAACCACAACCAAAATGCTTAAATTGGAGTCAAGAAATAGAAACAAAACACTTTGTTTCAGAAATGTCAACAACATTTCCTTTCTATCAAACATAACACTTTACAGTTTTCATTTTATGAAGAACAACTCTATGTTTTGACTTTTCATTCCACTTCAGAACACAAAAAAAGGGAAATGTCCAAATTTCCTGCAGGACAGAAATGCCTATTTTCAACAAGCTTTAATCTAATACTGCACTCATTTTAAGTCATAGGCATTTGTATTTAGCAGGCCTACCCCACTTGGAGAAGCAGAGGGTTATGCTTTCAGTGTTGCTGTGTAGATTGTGCTAATGAGTTCATCATACAGCAAGTATAATGAGCATCAGTGAGGGAGCCAATAAGAAATGGTTAGTCTGTTGTGAGAGAAGGGACGTGGGGGAGGGTGCAGATTGAGGCCCCATTAGTGAGGGAGGGAGTGGGGTTGGGGCAGGAGCTGCACAGCCAGGGTGGAGCATGGGAAGGAGCCATGAGTACCTTATCTGGGGGCTGCAGGGAGGGTGTGGTGGCTCCCACCGCTACACACACCTCAGGGGAGGCATGGGGGCCATATGTCCCAAGATGAGTGCATGGGGTGAAGGTGGGCTGCTGCTGTGGGCTGGGGTCGGGGCTGCGCTGGGCGCTTCCTGGAGAGGGGCTGCACTTGGGGTAGGCAGCAGTGGTGCTGCAATG